AGTTGCACGGCACAAGGAAGGGACAGACAATTCTCCTAAAGACGGGGAAAGGTGAGTCGGAAACAATAACCTAATCTCTCGCAGGTCAGTGCTCTTTATTACCCGCATTTTACAGATGGGGGATGGGAGGCACCTAGAGGTTAAATCATTTGCCCAAGGTCATCCGAGGTAAGTAAGTGGCAGAGGTGGGAATCAAACCCAGAACCTATGGTCTTACCACCCAAGGGATCTGCTTCTCTTGCGCTTGTTGATTGGCCAGGCAAATAGTCGCCCCCTTCCTTCTGGCTTCTCAGAGCCCCTTCTGTCCACCTAGAAGCCAGACTGGACCCTCTGCCCCTCCTCTTGAATGCAGGGGGCGCTGGGTCTCAGGGTTGCAGGAAACCTCATGCCTCCCTGAATACTCCTCAGCGGTCTGCCATGGCTGGTCACTGGCTTTCCCCTAGGATTCCAGGGCTCACAGCAACCTGGCTGAGGGCTCTGAGCTGGGGACACCGGAGGGAGGGCCGGCTAGAGGCTGCAAGGCCCCAGGACTCTGGGTGTGGCTTTCTCTCAGGGGCCTGGGCTGAGTTCCCTTATCCCCTAGAGGAACTGGGGCCCAAGGCATGCATAGCAATCCCCACCTTTGGGCCTGGTGTGACCAGAGACCTCGGCCCTGGTCCGCATCCCCAGCGAGGTCAGTGTTTTGGAGGTGTTGCCCCACGATCATGTCTGCTGAGTAAGGGCAGAGAGACCCTTCCTGGTGACAGCTGCCCCCCCACACTGCAGTCAACCCCATGGCGTACCCACTGCACAGCTCCTCTGCCCCTCGTATGCTTCCCGTAAGCTCTGCCTCCCCTAGGAAGAGAGGGGCACGGCAGAGGGGGGCCTGCTCCACGCAAGCTCTCACACAGGAAGGCATGGGAGCTGGGGGAAGGGCACCCACTGCAGCTCTGGCACCAGGGAGTGGGTAGGAGCAAGGGCTTTGGTGTCAGCCAGCTCCCCGTTGTGCTGTGTGATCCTGGAAAGTCACTCAACCTCTCTGAGCCTTTTCTTCACCTGTACAGTGGGGATAGTAACTACGTACCTTGTGGAAGCATATGAGGATTGCATGAAATCATCCACGCAGCCCATCCACCGCCACGTGGAGTTTGGCACAGAGCAAACAGTTTCTAAATGGAAGTCATCATGATCAGGTGGGCTGTCAACCTCTCTGAGCCTCCGTTTGCTCTTCTAGGGAATGGGGACAATGCAATGGGAACCTAAGGATTGTGTGAAATTGCGCAAATGCATGAATGTGGGCTGGGGTAGTAAGAGGGAGGGCCTGCAGCAGCCCACCTAGGGTCCTATCTAGTGGATGCTCCCGGTGCCCACCCATTGCTGTGACGCCAGCAGCCCACTGCAAGCATCCTCTTCCTTTCCAAGGTTCTCTCTGGTGCATGAATAGGTGTGGCAGGGGTGGAGGCTCCTGAAGACCAACCAGGGGTACTAGGGACCTTAGACTCTCGGGAGCAGCCTGCACCCGATACCAGGAGGGGTCAATAGATAAATACCCCTGCCTCCTTGCCCCTTAGTGGTGGTGTGGTGGGCAAGTCGGAGGAACTGTTCTTCTCAAACTGTCACGTGCTCT